TTCATCTCTTATCTTGTCATTTCTTCCATTTGCTTTAGCTACTTCCATTCAAGGGCAAGTTTCAGAGCCTCTTCTGACACCCATTTTGGTCTTTTGTTTCTTTCCTGTCTTTTTAATGACCTTTTGCTTTCTTCATGTATGATGTTCTTGATGTCATCTCACAACTCATCTGGTCTTTGAACCCTTAGTAATGTTTATTATCAATTTTAATCACACAGTCATATGAGATATAGTTGTAAACTGCTTAAGTGTGGTAATTCTTTGATTATATGAATGTTGTTGTTGTCAGGTGCCGTAGAGTTGGCTCTGACTCATGGTAACCCCACATACAACAGAATGAAACCCTACATGGTCCTGTGCCAGCCTTACAATCCCTGCTACACCTGAGCCCATCGTTACAGCCACTGTGTCAGTCCATCTCATTGAGGGCCTTTCCCTTTTTCATTGGCCCTCTACTTTACCAAACACAATATCCTTCCCCAGGGAATGGTCCCTTCTGACAACGTGACCAAAGCAGGTGAGATGAAGTCTGGCCATTCTCACTTCCAAGGAGCATTCTGGCTGCACTTCTTCCAGGACAGATATGTTCTTCTGGCAGTCCATGGCATTTTCAGTGTTCTTTGCTAACACTGCAATTCAAAGGCATCGACTCTCCTTCGGTCTTCCACATTCACTGTCAGCTTCCACATGTGAGTGAGGTGACCGAAAAGACATGGCTTGAGTCAGGCACACCTTGATCTTCAAAGTGACATCTTTGCTCTTCAGCACTTTAAAGAGGTCTTTCGCGGCAGATTTGCCCACTGCAGTACAATCTCTTGGCATAGATGAGTAAGAATCCATTTGTTGAAACATCATCAATTCCTGGAGCCTTGTTCTTCACGTTGGTGAAGAATTTGGTGAAGAAGTGCAGCTTTGACCTCTTCCCTCAATACCATTGGTTCTTGATCATATGCCACCTCCTGAAATGGATGAACATTGACCAGTTCTTTTTGGCACAGTAACTGTGTATTCCTTCCATCTTCTTTTGATGTAGTTGTAAATTGCTCAAGTGTGATAATTCTGATTCCTTGACCACTGCCTCCATGGGTGTTGACTGTACATCCAAGTAAAATGATTATATGAATATTAACAACAAAAATGTTTTATAAAATATTTGTACACTGGATGACATTAATTATAATTTTTATTATAATTTATTAATAACCGAGCAGAAGCCTTTTTGAGTTTTCCCTTCTTTTCCTTTAATGATGACTTTATTCTCTAAAACTGTCAATACAGTTCCACAAACACTACTGACCACGATATTGTAGCAAAAACACCAGAAAGCTTGACAACATCAGCAGCTATAACACAGGCAGTAACAAGATTGACAGCATGCGCTTGCCATGTGTACAGACGAAACCACGTGATCAGAAGCGTCCTTGTAGGGGGATGATCATCACAGCTCTGAGAGGAGGGCATTAGAGCATTCGAGAAGCAACGCTTTCTCGGTTTTAGCCTTGTAGCTGTCAGCCGGGCTCATGAAAAACATTTGTGTTGTTACAGCAGCTACAGGCATATTTCCATTTTGTGGAAACACTGCACTCAACTCTATAGTGTCCTTTAGGTGTTACCCTTCCGCACCCCGCTGCCCCTGAGTGACGCCACTGCTCGGGTCTTCTGCCTCACTGCTGACTGTCAGGGTCTCCTCCCGCCACGCCCCAGCAGCCCAGCGGGGCTCCTGCAGGAGAAACACCAGTGGTCATGGAGGTGCCGGCCCGTGACGACCCCATGGCTGTCGGAGGAGCACTGCTCCGCGGGGTTCTCTGGAGCCTTCAGGGAAGGTGAAGAGGGTCACCAGGACTTCTTCTGAGGCACCCGTGTGCAGAACCCCCAGCCTTTGGGTCAGCAGAACACGGGACCCTTTTGCACCCCAGGGTCTCTGCAAAGAGAGACCAGAGTCTCTCTTCCTCCGGCCTGCCCACCTCGGGACCTTGGCCAGGGTCTGTGTGATCGTCAGGCCCTTCTGCTACCCAGTGGTAGAAACCCGCATGAAACAAGCCCCAAGGGAGTCGTACCCACATGGAGACGGCACGCCCCACAGGAGAAACTTCTTGCCATGAACAGGGGTGTCTCTCTAGCCCATTGTCCTCACTTCTCATCTCTACACTACCCAGCTTCCCTCTGTGTAGCTAGAACCCCTGTTCTTGCAGTGTGGGATCCCAGAAAGCAGCCACCCCTTGTCACAGCCCTACAGCAAGCCTCAAGGAAGGTGTGGTACTTAAGGTTGTGTGTCAATTTGGCTGGGCCTGGTTGAGTGGCTGGGCAGCTGGATGTAGTATTCCCCGTGATGAGACTGGCAATCAACTCCATGGTGGAACCTACTGTGAGCAGCTGAGTAGCTGTGTTGGTAGGATGTGGTCTGCTTCCTGTATATAAGGAGAAGCTTTGGGGAATGGTCTCCAGCTTACGGCACACTTGAACCCTCGTGTAGCCGAGTCTTCACTTAGCAGCCTGCCGTGCTCTGCCGACCTTGGGACTTTCAGGGGACTTGGATCAATGGCCTGCCACGTGGTTTGGTGACCTTGAGACGGTGCCGTGTTGTCGACCTTGGATTTGACAGCCTCAGCAGTCAGCAGCTGCCTGAGTGAGGAAACCCTCCAGCTTCAGTGGGCCGGGAGGAGAGGCAGAGCTGAAGCCCAGGGTTGAGGGGCTTTCACCCAGCCCTAGAGCCTGGCACTCTGAACTCAGACTGAAAGCCTCCAAAATTTTAAGATAATAAACTCCTGTTTGTAAAGACATCCCATTTGTGGTATATTCCTGTCAGAGCAGCACTAGGGACCAGAACAGAAGGGTTCTCATTGGCCCTGCTTGGTCACGTGCCTTGGGCTGAAGACCACGCTGGGACCAGGGTTGGGGTGCTATGACTGGCAGTCCTAGCTGAGCCAACCAGGATGGGAGGGCTGTTCCCCATGGGAGGGATGCGGCAGACTCAAACAACAGAGAGAACCAGGGAAGGTGGGAAGGAGTCAGACCAGAACGTCAGGGCCACCCGGATTCCAATCCCCCTGTGAAGTCCATGCTACAGTCGCTCTCTGGGCTCCCGGGCTGTGCGCTTGCCAGGGGCAGCAGTGTGGACAGAGCAGACCAGCCCAGCAGACCAGCCCCCTGCTCAGTGGACAGGTGTCCTGGTTACCTAGGGCTGCTGTGACCGAAACACCCAGTCACAAAAACCAAACTCAGTGCCGTCGAGTCGGATCCGACTCACAGCGACCCCCCTTGGGTTTCCGAGGCGGTATCTCTATGGAAGTAGAGGTGCTACAGACCAGAAATGATGGCCTCACAGTCCAGGAGGCAGGAAGCGGGACTGTGCCTCTAGCGGGAGGCCCCTCCCTGTCGGCTTCAACTCCTAGTAGCAGTAGGGCAGCGCGTGGCCTCCTGGGCTCCATCTTCAATCAGCGTGTGTCTTCCTCGTGGTCTCTGCATCTACTCTGGTCTTTTTATAACTCAGAAGGGATTGGGTTTAGGACCCAGCTGACTGGTCCAGCCTCATTAACAGGGCACAAGAAAAGCCCCATTTCCAGACAGCCTCACACCCACAGGTATGAGGGCCAGGCAGTGGGCATTCTGGGGACACAATTCAGTCCATAACCTGAGGCAGGGACCAGCTACCTCAACGAGGGCACTTGCTGGTATGAGGCTTCCATCCCGCCAGCTCACTGTCCTGATCACCCAGGAGGACATCTGACCACTCAAGGCCACGTGGCCAGCTCCCCACCTCCTCTTCTGGGGGCTAAGCTGGACATGGGGACGTGGGGGAGGAGCAGGCCTGCACTGAGTGGGCTGTGCCCAAAGCCAGGCTTTGCTGGTGGCTTCAGGCAAGTGGCCTGCAGGGCACTCCCATTCCCGGGGTGGGCCAGACCCTCAGAGCCCAACTCCAGCCTCGGGTGTTGCTCTGTTGCCCCTTGCAGGCCGCCCTTCCGGACCCCGAGGGCCTCCAGACAGTAGGATGAGCGGGTTCAACAGAAACCCCCAGGAGAGAACTACCACAGGCTGCACCCCAGAGAACTGAAAGCAGCAACCCGGGCACCTGTGTTCGCAGCCCACCCCTCGCAAGAGCCGCAGGTAGAAACGGCCAAAGTGTCCACCAGCAGATGGAGGGTAAAGGTCACAGGGTCCAGCTGTCCAACGGACTCAGCCACCAGGTGCAGCAGAGTCCTGATGCCCCTTACCACCAGATGAACCTCGAAAACGTGATGTTGGCGGAGATCAGTCAGTCACCAAAGGACGAGGAGCGTCCGATCCCACTTACATGAAACGGGGACCAGAGCTTGTTAGCAGGTACGGAGGGGGGGGTCGTAAATTAGGGAAATGAACTGCTGCTCCCAGAGGTGGGGTCATTCAGAAGCAGATGGTGGTCATGAGGCCACAAGAGGACGGATGCAGGCCACGCCACTGCGCCATACACATAAACGGTGTTCATTCACTCGGCAAATGTTTCGTTGTGTGTATTTTTACCACAATACAATTAGAGAGAGACCCAGGTGACAAACGGAGGCAGAGGACGTTGGCGGCCAGAGGAAGGTGCTGCTCAGAGAGAGGCCGGCCAGAGGCACCAGCCGCAGAGCATCTGCGCACCGAGTTCAGCCCCTGCTCCACCCTCAGCCTCTGGGACCTGGGGCAGGTCACCTGGCCTCCCTGAGCCGCGGTCCTCCCAACTGCAGAATGGGAACAGCAACCCGCCCCCCATCAGCCCCAGGACCAAGGGAGGGGCTGGGGGGCTGGGCACCTCCTGCTGCCAGATGTGCGCCCTGCCCTGCCCCTTCCTAGGCCTGCCCCAGCACGTGGGAACCACCCATGGGGCCTGGACAGGCCTCAGGGCCTGGGCCCAGCACCCACAGGTGCTCCAGGAGGGGCTGGGTGGGGCGCGGCACCATGTGCACACACAAAACCCTGGTTCCAAAGGGCACGAGGCACAGGCGCCAGGGCCGCCAGGGAGCGTGGGTGCGGGCTCTGGGCCGATGGCCGCCCACGTGGTACTGTGGGAGCTGGCGGCACCTGGCACGGAGCAGCCCTGGTAAGGGGTGGGGAGTTTTATTTCATACCGATCAGGCGAGGAGGGTGGAGCCAGGGGCCAGGAGAGGGTGCAGCGAGGTTCCAGGAACCAGCTCCAGGCTGGGAGTCTTCCTACTCGGGGTGACCCACCAGCAGCTGGTGAGCCACTCTGCAAACAGGTGTCAGAGGGCGCCTGAGGGGTCGCAGTCACAGGCCTCAACAGCCTGGGCCCCCAGGAACGGCCCCACCCCTCTACCAGCCCCACCTGGGCCCAGCCCGGGCAGCCCTGACTCCGGCTCAGGTGGGAGAAGGTGCTGACACCTGCCTCCCGCCCTCCCCCAGGAAACTAGATGGGACGTAACCCTAAGAAGCCTGTGCGGTGAAATTGGGGTGCAGTCTGGAGTCTGCGGGGTAACAGGCACCGCGGGTGATTCTGGGGTCCCCTGGAAGTTGGAGGAGCTCAGTCCACTCCCTCACAGCCCTGCATGGGGGGTAAGAGAGGGGGGTCTCAGAAGACCTCCCCCCACACTGCCCTGGGCCAGCCCACCACCGCCTCCTGGATCCTCCCCGCCTGCGACCGAGCAGAACCGCGCCCCGTGGCGTTTCCGTGGCTGATTTTTCTGAAGCGCATTGCCAGGCCTTCCGAGGTGGTGCTGGGCCGGCAGCCGAGCCCAGGCCCCGTGTGCACCGCCGAGGCCTGGACCCCGCCAGCAAAGCACAGTTTATCCCCCCAGAGACGAGCCAGGAGAGTGTGCTGATGTCACGGGACCGACCACGACCGCCGCCCCCGTCCCTGAGCCCGAGGGTCTGTCTGCCTTCCCACGCTCCTCCCACCACCTACCGTGAGCAGACCATCATCTTCGCAGCACGGGTGGTTCCTGGAAAGGGCAGCCGGTCTCAGAGCAGATACAAGAAAAGCTGGGGGCTGCCAGGACAGGGGCCCCCTGCGAGGTGTGGAGGCCGCCCCACCGTCCCCAGCCCTGGAAGGGGGGCGGCCCCAGAGTGCAGGCCTGGTCCCTCTGCCCAGGACAGGGGCCCCCTGCGAGGTGTGGAGGCCGCCCCACCGTCCCCAGCCCTGCAAGGGGCGGCCCCAGAGTGCAGGCCTGGTCCCTCTGCCCCGACACCATCCTGGCCCCTCACGCTGGGGGCAGCAGTCCTCTGTCCATGACTGCTGTCTGGAGGGTGGCTCCCGGGTCCCCTCTCGGCCATGCTCATGATCCCGGGGCAGGGAGTGTCTAAACAGCAGCATCCAGCTCCTCACCTGTGGGCCAGCAGGGTCTGTGACGGGCCCCCCCATGTCACCCTTGGCACCAGGAGCGTCTGCAATGATCTGCCCATGTCACCCCTGGCACTGGCAGAGTCTCCAGAGGTCCCCCCATGTCACCCCAGTACCAGCAGGCAGGTGGTGTTCAGTAGGGGTGCACAGCAGCTGAAAGGTCCCAGCAGAACCCCAACTTTATCCAGTCAGGGAGCAGCCCCACAGACAAGCACTTCCTGACCTCTCGTTACGCCGTATCTGGTGCTGGGGACATGGGGGACACAGGGGATATGGGAGACATGGGAGGGTGCCTCAAGATTTGCCCTGTCCTCGGGCTCCTTATCCGGTGCACAGACGGAAGCAGAAGGCGACACCATCACAGTGCGGCCAGTGCCGGGACAGAGGGGAGGGCAAGGAGGGCAGGGTGGGGCGGAGAATGACACCCTCAGGGCCAGAAGGCTTCCAGGAGGAGGTGATGCCCAAGCAGAGGCCAAGGAGTGTGTCAGGGCAAAGAAAGGTGTGTGTGTGGGGGGGTGATCCAGGCAGAGAGCATGTGCAAAGGCCTGGGAGGTGGGGGAGACAGAGACAGAGAGGAAGAGGGTGGGGGACAACAGAGGGACTGAGAGAGACAGGCACAGAGACCCTCAGGGCCCTAGTTTAATCTGTGTGTCTTCCGTCCACATTAGAAGGCCAGCCCATGAGGCAGGCCTGTCTGACCCCACACAGTCACTTGTCCAGTGACTGGTCCTCACCTCAGGGCCCAGCCCCAGCTGTGGCTTCTCCTGGAGTGCCCCACCCCCATCCCTGCACCCACACCAGTGGGCGTCCTTTGCCTCAGGACTGCCCCTCCCCCCAGCTGGTGCCCTGCTGGGAGCAGGGGCCACGCCTGGACCTGACCCCTGCAGACTGCAGGTGCCCTGAGCACAGCCCCTCCCCCAAGCCCCGGGCCCGCAGTTCGTCTTGACCATCTCATCCCTGTGCCCCCTCCTCCAGGAAGAACGGGGTGAACGAGGGAGCCCCATGATCATGAACAGGCTCGCTCTCTGCAAAGCCCAGCAAGGGCTGAGCAGCCTGTGGGCGCTCAGAGAAGAGGGGCCATCAGGACAGGCTTCCTGGAGGAGGCGGCACAGGGATGAGATGGTCATCTTGGCTTCAAAATGCCGTCAGGGGTAAGGTCACCATCAACGCAGGAAGAGCTCTCAGGGAGGTGGACCCCGCCACTCGACGGCACACATCTGCCGCGGCTGCACCAGCATCCCGGAAGTGCCAATGCACACAGGCCTAATGACAACGCAGAGCTGTCTCCCTGCTCGTGGTCCTTGGGAAACGGTCCTGGAGGGCCTCGAGCAGGGCTTAGTGGGCCTCCGGGAGGCGGGAGGGCGCAGGGATGGCGGCCGCTGCGCAAACCTGGGGCTCGGGACGCTGAGCCTGGTGGAGGGCGCCACCTGGTGGCCGTGGGCGGCAGTGCGGCGCTCAGGGGCAGGCTCGCGCCCCTGGATCCTGCACCCATCCCGGGCCTCTGCCCAAGCCTGGCTTCCTCCTGAGCCTCCCTGCTTCTCTGTAACCCTCGGGAGGAAGGACAGGGACGGGGTAACTGCTGGCCTGGATTCTAACCTGGGTCTTCCCAGCCGCGTGAGCTTGGCAGGACTGTCTGAGCCTCCTGCTTCGCAGGGGCAGTTGGGGTCTCCTTCCTGCCTCTCCCTCCCTGCCCCTGCAGCTATCCACGAGGCTCGAAGACCTTCTGGGGGAGGGGGGCGCACGCCTGGGCCCCGAGTCTGGAGCCACCCCGGATGAGGGGCTCTCCAGCTGAGGGGCTCCTGGGGGAGTCAGGTCAGGCTGGCAGGGGCAGAGGAGCAGAGCGTGGGGGCGGCAGCCTCTGTGTCCTGCGTCCGTGGGGCCGAGCAAGCGTGGAGAGTGGGGGCTCTGGGGTCCTGGGAGATCAGGGAGGAGCAAGGGCCTTAGGGGGCCTGGGGCATGAGGAGTCCAGAGTCGAGATGTGTGTTTTGAACAGACCTGTCCTGTGGCAGAGGAGCCCTGGTAGCTCAGAGATTAAGCGCTCAGCTGCTAACTGAAAGATTGCTGGTTCAAACCCACTGGCTGCTCTGGGAGAGAAAGATGTGGTAGTTGGCCTCCCTAAAGATGACAGCCTTAGAAACCCTCTGGGGCAGTTCCACTCTGTCCTCTGGGGGCGCTGTGGAGCAGGATGGACTCCATGGCAAAGGGTTTAGTTTGGGCTTTGTTTCTGTAAACACTGATAGCCTTGGAGACCCTGTGGGCAGTTCCACTCTGTCCTCTAGGGGCGCTGTGAGTCAGAATGGACTCCAGGGCAGTGGGTGTGGTTTGGGCTTTGGGTCTGTGAAGACTGACAGCCTTGGAGACCCTGTGGGCAGTTCCACTCTGTCCTCTGGGGGCGCTGTGGGTCAGAATGGACTCCAGGGCAGTGGGTGTGGTTTGGGCTTTGC